AGAGTATTGCAGTTCCTCCATTTTTCCTAATTGACTGATATTCATGGATTTGATACTGAACTGTTTTTGACACTGGACTTTGTTATTGGATTATCTCTGGACTGAAAACTGACTGATTTTACCTGTGAATGACTTTGGACTGTGTTTGAACTTTGCTTAAACCTTTATTGAAAGTCAAAAAACCTACATTTACTGTACAGTGTATCTGTGTGCTGTGTGTGTATTATTCAAACACTACTCTCAAATACGTCTCCCTGTATGCGCTCATTCTCCTAACGGGGAATTACCTCAACAACCTCTGGCATTGATGCCCAACTATCTTCTTAATCTTCCACAAAAAGAAAAGCTTGGAGACTGGACAGATATTATTGCTGAGGCCAATGATGACTTATTGAAAAGTCATTCTTCACAGCCAAAGAAATCACCCCCTTTCTCAAAGAAGTATTTTTGGACAGTTTTCCATGGCTATAAATCAAACATAAAGCAAAAAAATCTAGAAGAGATAAACACTTGGAGTGTGATACATACTTTAAAATAAGTCACGGTTCCTTGAATTTTGTACAGAGGGGAAGTAACTCCCATCAGGAGGAAAGTATTAGGGGAAAGGTAATGCTCTTATTTCTAAATCCATAAGAAGTATGCCAGAGGCAATGATATGGAGAATGAATTATCTATCAGGGCCACAAGTTAATTTGTGCAATGATGTTTTCAGATCTCTTCCCTGTAGATTTTGTTTTTTATTTTTGCACTTGTGTTAGAAGCACTGAGGCACTTGCAGGGTTGAAAGGATAACTGGTGACATCACTGTTGCCCTGGGGACACCTACTGGTAGTTGGGGGCTAGATGTCTCCAGGGAGGAGCTGGTTTGAAGGATGAGGGCTCAACCCCTCCCCACAGCAGCTCTGGGCTCACAAATGCGGGCTTGGAAACCTCCTGCCCATGGTTCCAATCACTCGAGCCATCCTGCTCCTGAGCCACCATGATCCATGTAGAATTGAGCAAAGTAAAATTGAGTGACCAAAGGAAGACAAAAGGATGGCTTGACCACTTCATTCTTTATGTATTTGCCCAGTGAAATAATGTGGTTCAGACGTGGTTCACTAATATACAATACCATTACAATTTTTTTTTTCCTGGGCTCTAAAAACATCAACCCAACAAAATAAATTTTAACTTATGGATTTTACAATGTTTCCTATTTATGATCTGAAGATTGTTGCTGATAAACTAACCGATCCCATGATGCCCTTTGACTGTAAACATACTCTAATCTCCCAGTCATTTCATTATCTTTTTGTTCCCAAATGCCAATTCTTTTTTCTTTATTACTTCTGCAGATGGCAAGGATCAAATAATGTCTGGAAAGAGATAAAATGCTGACTTGTTACATTTTAAGCTTGTGAAATTGGTTTTCAGCAGGAGCTTCTGGGCTCGCTTCTCCTAGCAAATGTCATCTGCCCTTTTCTAATTAGCTGTAATTAGTTTCAAGCCTCTTAAAGTATTTATCACATTTGGGAGACTAATAGAACACGCCTGGGGGAATGTGCCTTGTACAAATTACATTGTTTTTTGGGGTCTTTTTTTTTCTATTTCTGTAACCCAGATTTCTCTTTCTCTTCCCCTAAGGGAATCAACTTTTTTATCAAGAAAAAAACTTTTTCCTTGTGGCACCCAAGGAAAACAAGGACCTTTGTGTAGGATGTTAAATGTTTTTTTTAACATAGTGTTTTTCCAAATGCATAAAATAAAAGTATCTTAAAATGAATTTGAATCTGGAAAGAGGATAAGAGCGGTGAAAAAAACCAAGATGTTGGGATCATGGAAAGTGTGCAGAGAACAACAAAGATGATAAAGCATCTGGTCACTAAATCATATGAGGGACAGTTGAGGGAACTAGGGATTTCTAGCCTATTGAAGAGAAGGATTGGGGAGAAATATGATAATTGTGTTCCAGTACTTGAGGGCCTTCAGAGAGAAAGGGTTGCTTTATTCTCCAAAGCATCAGAAAGGGCAGAACAAGAATGGGTGTGAGAGAGATTGAACTTAGAAGTAAGAAGTAATTTTCTGACAGTGAGAACAATTAATGGAATACTGTAGCTTGTTGCCTAGAGTTGTGGGTGTTTGATCACTGGAGGTTTTAAAAAATAGACAGGACAACCATTGGATTGGAATAGTATAAGGCTCCTCTTTTGAGTAGGGCCTTGGACTAGAAGATCTCTGAGGTATCTTCCATCCCTATGATTCTATGTTCTAAATAAAGCTCGAACTTGAGTTTGCTTCCTGAATTATGAAGTAGGAGGTTTCTGAAAGTGGGTGAAATGAATTGTTGGAAGAAACATCCGGTCTGGTTCCAAGCTGGAAGAAAGCAACTGGAAATAAAATGAAGGCAGGCTGAAGGAAAGGAAGTCTCTGTTTATTTGGTAGCCAGAAACTATAGACAGCAGCATGTTTCTGAGGTGGCTGACAAAATGGAGTTAAGAGTAGGTGGGTTTTTATACATTCTTTTGGGATTTTGTGATTGAAATGCCTGTTCCTGTGTAAGAACATATTCTTTAATATTTTAATGGTTATTGCCAGATTCCTATGGGGTCATGTAGGGGTCATGTCTGGTTCTACAGGCAAGAGAGGAAAGAGAGGAAATACAAATCCTAGATATTTTGTTTGAGGTAATCTTGCCAACTTTGACTCCTTGCCTATCTGGAGTCTCTTTGCTTATGAATAGAATGGCCCACTCTTTCTGAATGGATAGAAAATCTCCATTCCTAAAGACAAGCCTCTTCAGGATTCTGCTTGAGGCTGTTTTCCTACAGCAGAAAGACTGGGGATGCTTTCTGCTTTTACTAAGATGCCTCTCCTCTTCTCCCTCGGGAAAAATATTCTGTTCTGCCTCTTTTTAATATAAAGAATAAATGATATTTTATTCTTCCTACAAAATGAAAACTAGTTAGAAAATATACACCTAAATCTTCATAGAGTGAATGTGTTCCAAATTGGTATATATTAGTGTATATTAAACAAACATGTATATTTTATAGTACATTTTATTAAAAATGTATGTTGATAACTACAATAAAGTGAAGAGATAATAAAATTCTTCCCCTTACTAAAGAAAATTCTGTGGGCAAAATGCCTGTACAGAATGCCTTTTCTTTGCGACAAAAGAGTTGTTTCTCCACTATAAAAAGAATTGGGGAACAATCTAGGAGTAGATAGGAGGCCTCCTATTTTCCTAACATATTTCTTTTTTTAAGAAAAGGTTTACAAATAGGAATTATTATATTAAGAAATAAAAGGAAATGTATTTTGCTAGAATCTTCAAATGCAACCTTTCCCAGTTTGGTATCTTCCAGTTCTATTGGCTAACATTTCCATCATACTGTGTGGATGTCCCTTTAGCAATTTAGTAAAAAGTTTAATACTGTAATACATTGTTTAAATAATCAACAAATAAAGCAGATTATTTTAAGATTTAAAATCCACAGACACGTAACCTTTTCCTTGGAAACCTTGATTTCCTAACTAAACACCACCAGCCCTACTTTGGTTTTTGTTTTTTTTAATGTTTGGAAGGAAGACCACCCGGAAAATCCCAGGCTCTGAACAACAGTTAGAAGTTTGGGGAAAAAATCCAAGAAAGCATCAATGATGACCCATTGCTAGGAATCAAGGTCAACTCAAAGGAGACTGTATATATATCAATTTATGAAAGAAACATTCCACATTTTCCCCATTTTCATTACCCCTTTATTTATATCACAATAATTAAAATAATTGATTTCAGCTATCAAAGAAATGCTGGTGTAGAGTTTAAGAGCCAGTGAATTTACAAGAATGTAAATATACTGACCTCTGGTGGACATTGTAAGGAACCTTGTTAGTCTTCTCAGAACTGGTTTGATAAGATACCTGTAATACAATCTATGTCTGCATAATAATACTGTCTTCCCCTCCCTTCCCTCCCCAATTCAGATTAAAATATGCATAAATCAAGGCACTTTGTATGACTGATAACAGTGAGCTGCAGTTCACAAAAATCTATGCCTTTAAATACATTTATTCATTGGAAAAATTATATCAGATTGCTTGAGATTTTTTGACTTCTAGTGGCAATCTGTGTGTTTGTTGCATTAAGTTATCCATAAAACTATAAGTAGTTGTTAAGTATTAACAGTACTTCCTGATTCATAAAACAGCTATACAACTCCTCAATAATTCATAAAACAAAATATACATCCTCACTTATTCCAGTCTGTTTTCATTGTTCCAAACTCATATCAAACCAGAAAATTTCATACTGTGTTAACTACGTAAAGGCGGGTAGATTGTTTTAATTGGCAGTGACAAATGATTGTGGTAAATAATTAAGCCTAGTGACTAAAATATGAAACAGGAGCAATGTACCATGTTGTCAAAATTGAATACAGTTCTGTAATTCCTTGGATTATTTCACCTTCTCATAACCATTTAAAGATTTTCTGAATTATTTTTATATGATCTTTGATACAACCTACGTTTGGCCTTTTCAATACCAGGAAGCTAATTTAGGAGAATAAACTAGTTATTATTTTAAAATTTCCAACTGTAAATATACAGTCTCTTTTTCTTTTTTCCTGAGTTTATGTTATTTTCCCCCCCCCCCCCACCCACAAAATATACATATATATTAACAGTTTGTAAACTGTCCATTAGGAGTCAGGCAACATAATCAATTTAATAAATAAAAAAATAAGTTAATTAAATTAAATTAGAATCATGGTTTGGGGAGACATCTCGGATTACATTAATTCTTGGAATTGCATCAGATCACAAGAGGCTGCGTGGCTGTTTGTACGATGCTCTGAAATACAGTTGCACAAACGGTATTTATAATTCATTTGCCTGCGCGAAACTAGGTAAATGGGAGGAGCTAGCTACGTTCAAACAAACCACGTGTACTCAGTCCTGCCCTGCGCAGAAGGCGCTGCCGACGCCATTTCCCAGCCAGCCCCAAAGCCTGGTATCTTGTGTTCCTCGCTTTTCCTTCCGTCTTGACCTCGGCGGACTTATTCAGTTGTGGCTCTCTCTCTTTAACGGAAGCGTGTGGAAGACATTGCGGAAGTGGGGGCGGGGTTAGTTCTTTCTCGTTCTGGCGGCTGAAAGAAGATGGTGAGTCTGTGCTGTGCTGATGGAAGATCGGTTTCCATCCCGCGCTTTTGGAGACTTTTGGTCCCGGGATACGGGAGGGGAAAATTGCCTAGGGTTTATCAGACGTGGAAAAAGGAGTATTTTCCCAACAGGCTCCCGTGGTTTCATACCATGGTTGACAATGGAAGATTCCTGACCCTAGTCCAGGCCTAACTATTATTTTTCAGCCAGGGGAACGGCGCCTTTTCAGAGGCTTGTTGGGCATCGCTGGGATGGAGGGCCAGGTTGTCCTCACTTTTAAGAGGAGGGAACAATATATGAGGTTTTCTACGCGGTTGGTTCAAGTTTTTCCTCTCTATTTAGTTATATAGGAGCTTCCTTTAGATGCCCCAGAATGAAGCGTGGTTCTGCAATCCATTAAAGCAGGGCAGAGTTTAAAAGGCAGGGTAGGGTGCGTGGGTTGAGGTTTTAATCCAGGGGACTTGAAACTTGACAGCTTTAAGACTTGTGGACTTCATCTTCCAGAATTCCTCCTCGAGTCATGTTAGCTTAGGAATTCTGGGAGTTGAAGTCCACAAGTCTTAACACTTGCCAAGTTTTGAAGACCCTTGCTTTAATATCTTATTCAGAGGTGTTTGCTTGAGCTCTGGGGTCTAGAATAAATTGCAGTTAGATAATTCAGGAATCCTTTAGTTCTAGAACAAGGGTCTTCATTCAAACTTGGCAAGTTTAAGACTTGTGGACTTCAACTCCCTGAATTCCTTAGCTAACATGTCTGGAGGAGGAATTCTGGGAGTTGAAGTCCACAAGTCTTAAAGCTGTCAAGTTTGAAGACCCCTGTTCTAAAAGAAAGGAGTAAAATAAGGGAAGGGCAGGTAAAGATTTGCAGCTTTTCCTGATGTGTTATTTGTTTCTACCGCTGCTTTGCTGTTCGGATGTGCAAGTTTCTTCCATGCATAGTTTGTGCCTGATTTATTTAGATGCTAGTTCTCGCAGTGCGATCTGAATGTTTTGGGATACATTACCCATCAACTCTGATCAGCATGGGATATTGCAAAGAGCTCTGAACAGCCTGCTACTGGGTCCTATGTATATAATAATTGACTAGGACTTAGGCAGTGAGTTAAATAATAGTTAAGTGCATAAATATAGTATCTTAGTGAACTGATAGCAGTTGGGCCAAGTCAGTTAAAGAATGGATCCCACTTGATAAGAAAGTGTCCACAAAAGAGACCTATAACAAGATGGATTGACTACATCAGCAAGTAGGGCCCAATTGGCAAAAGGAAGCCAAGGACCATATTGGTTGGAAATATGCTGAAGTGGCCTTCATCTTGCAGTGGGTAGACAATGGCTAAAAGGATGGTGATGAATGAATGTTTGAGTTTAAAAGTGCTTTATAGTTGATTCCAGAATAACTTTAATGCCAATGTTTTGCTTCACTTTTGTGATTAAGTCTAATTTAATTTGTTTATAATTTTATAATGTGGCTGAAACAATGCATTGCTGTTAATAAACCATGTTTTTATATGTCAGGTAAGGTTGCAATAAGGCCATACTGTGACTTTAGAAATCAGCATACATAGGATTATCTCTCTCCTGTTAAATTCAGTTAATTGAACAATGAGTTACTTTTGATCAACACAGCCATAACAGTTAAAATATGACTTAACAAAAGTACAAAACCTGTTAGGGTTGAAGAGGATCATTTTACTTTTACGGTTGTATTTTAGGAAATAATGGTTATTGCTTTAACCAAGAAGAGAGATTCCAAAACATTCTACTCATAGAGAAGGCAGTAAATAACCATAATTAGTGGTGGCAATTGATAACCAATTCTCCATTAATTTGTTTACAGACTTTTGAAGACCACATATTTTATAAAATTTATAACTGCCCATTTTAAAATGCATAGTTGTGTGGCTAGCAGCCAGTTTACGAGAAAAACATTCTTTTTAAAAAATGTTAAAAATAATCCAGTACAAAAGAATGGTAATTTATCATTTGTGTAAAGTAATTTCCATGTCTGTTTCAGACAAAAGGAACATCATCTTTTGGCAAGCGCCGCAACAAGACACATACTTTGTGTCGGCGATGTGGATCCAAGGCCTACCATCTCCAGAAGTCCACCTGTGGAAAATGTGGATACCCTGCTAAACGCAAGAGAAAGTGTAAGATTGTCATTTTTCAAAGTACAGGAGTAACTTTAGTATTTAGAGCATTTGCATTTGTATTGACAAGGATGGACAGGTGGGCTGCTGTTGATTTTTTCCAGAAAGCTGGTTTATGTTCCTATAATTTCCTGATGCCTGCCCATCATAGTACTAGTCAGATTCATGATTTGTGGATCATGATCAGTTACATATTTGTGTACCAGCCAGGGTTGGTTACATATTTTCATCTGCTCTAAAGCCCCTTCCTCCCTAAACAATATTGCAATAGCAACTAGCTTCTTAGCAAGATGTTAAGTATTTCTGTAGGATGTTTTTGTGTCAGGCTTTTATTTATTGAAGTTAATCCAAATACAGTGTATTGACAAAATGCTTCCTACCTTAAGTTTCTCCTGTTTCATTGCCTTCAAGTCACACTTACTAAATGGACAGGTGTGTGTAGTTTTCTAGGCAGCATTTGCAGAAGTGGTTTGTATTTTCTTGTTCCTAGAATTGAGCAGAAATGGCTGATGCAAGGTCACTCTGCTGACGTTTATGCTTAAAGAATGAGTGGAACTTGAGACTTCCCTGCTCCTAATCTAAAACTTAACCACTAGACCAAATTGGTTTTTATCATATTTTACTGTGTTTAATTTTTCTCTATTTTGGGATTGTTTTCAAGAACAGTTATTACTGGTCTAAAATTATATCAATACAAATACTGTTATTATTTTTTTCCTTAGACTTCCCAAAAAGTGTTAACATGAATGTGGGAAATAGAAGCTTGTACAAGGATGGAAACACCTAGGCTTGGATTTCTGAGGGAATAAAATGGGGCAGTGTAACTGGAACTGTCTGGAGTAAAATGTTGTGTACCACAATTTTTTTATAGATAACTGGAGTGCTAAGGCCAAAAGGCGCAATACTACTGGGACTGGCCGCATGAGGCATCTAAAAAAAGTCTACCGAAGATTCAGGTAAGATCCCTCTAAAGTTATCTTAGCTAAAATTCAGAAGTACTAAGCCAGAACAGTACAGCCATAAAATAATTGTTTCATGTATATTCCTATAACTCTTACATGCCACCCAGGTTCATTTGTCTGTGAATTGGGTGTCCATATGAATAAATAAATGATGCAGAGACCTTTTTAATAGCAAACAGGCAATTACCAAGTACCGCTTAGATCAGGGTTGCCAAACTCTTGGCCCGTGGGCCAGATGCATCACAGGCTGACCACGCCTGGTTTAGTGAAGGGAAAAGAAGTCACGATACGTCACGTGACAATGCCTTGACAATACGAGTTTGTCACCCCTGACCTAGATTTTGTCATTATTCCTTGCAAAAGCTTAATAAAATCAAGTCTCTGTTGAGAGGAACTTAATTTCTGATGGTTTCACAGATATATCTGTAATTTTGAGGGTAGCAGTACTGAGGTAATTTTGTATTGCCTTCTTTTGGGCTGCTGTTTTATCTTTCCTGATAATCTCCTATTAGGAAAGTACTAATAAGGCTCCGTTTTCATTGGATTGCCATTCCACACAAAGTTAAAGCAAATTCCTTCGGAGTAAATTTAAAATGTTTTCCTAAGTCATGGTTAACAAATTGATTTCTTTAAAACATTTTAAAGCATGCTAACCTTGTGCTTAAATGTAATATAATTTATTTAAATGATTTGGGAGTCACAACTTCAGCTTAGTTTGATATAAGAATGAGGTTGCCATATGGATTTTAGCAGCTTATCTGTGATGTTCTTAAAACCAAAGTCTGAACATCTGATTTCCTAAGTGATTTCATTTTGTAACTGAGATAAGCTGTTTTAAAAAGGAAAAAAACCAGATAAATAGAAATGCTTAAATGCAAAAAGTCCTGTTTCTTCTTTGCTTTATACAGGAATGGATTCCGTGAAGGAACAACGCCAAAGCCCAAGAGAGCTGCTGTTGTGGCTTCCAGCTCATCTTAAGGACTCAGATGTTGATTTGAAATAAATGGCTACTCTACAAAAACAAAATATCATCTTTATGCAGTGTTCAGTTTATTCAAATTTGGTGATTCATTTTGTTCCTTATTAATCTGAAATTTGACTGTAAAATATGGAGGTGTTTTTTCCCCTCACATACACAAAGCACATTTCTTAAATGTAATAGAAAATTCAGATTTGTTTTAGCATTCAGTGGAATGTTCATAATTAGGCCTCTGTATTGATATATGTACATAGGCCATTTGAGCTACAACTGGAATCTTGAATTGGTCAAACCTGCTCCCAATGGGAGACTCAGGTCTGTTGGCCATTGTGCAGTAATGTCTGTGTTTCAGTATCTGCAATCAGACTACAATTTCTATAGTATAATCTTAAGATAGAGCAGTGATTTTCAATCGTGGCAACTTGAAGATGTCTGGACTTCAGCTCCCAGAATTCTCCAGCCAGCATGTCCACACACCTTCAAGTTGCCAAGGTTAAGAAACACTTAATTCTTCAAATCCTGTTCTCATGTGGTACGCAAAGCCGGAAGCTAGCCTATGGAAATGCAGAACAAGATTGTCCAACATTATGTATGTGGGACTAAAGGACAACATCTTGAGAGGGGAAGGGGAGACGAATAGGAAATGGTTTTCTTGTAAATCCAGGTAGTCCTTGACTTACAACATTAATTTAGTGATCAAGTTACAGTGGTTTGTGGCTGTTTTTCACATTTAACGACTGTTGCAGTATCCTCACGGTCACATGATCACAATTTGGACACTTGGCAACTGGCATGTGTTTATGATGGTTGCAGTGTCCCAGAGTCACGTGATCGCCTTTTGTGACCTGATAAGCAAGGTCATGGGGAAGTCAGATTCACTTAACTATGTTATTAAGTGCAGTGATTAACTGGCAAGAAAGGTCACACAATTGGGCAAAACTTACTGTCTCGCTTAGCAATGGAAACTTTGGGTTCAATTACGGTCATAAGTTGAGGTCTTGTGCTTTTAGCCAGTTAAGTTGTTCACAACGTTTTGTGAGTTGGAAAGGTCTTCATCTAATATTTAAAGAGGGCACTTGTACCATGTTCTCAAAATTGCTGAACGACCCCAAAAGTTAAGACAGTTGATAACACGTGTTGGTATAAGTATGTCATAAAATTGAGTTCAAGCCACTCAACAGTTTTCCAAGAGTTTTTATTCTTGTGTTATTCAGACAAAAAGTAAGGCAAGCATGCAATTAAGCTTAATTAGTTCCTTTATATATTACTTGGCTTATTTCAAAGTTAGCTTAGTACAATTGGCTATGCCAACTAGGCTATCAAGAAACTCTGCCCAACAAGGCTATTCAGGTTGCTGTTAAGTATTGTTGCCCAACTAGGCTACACATTGTCACAATACTCAGACTCTCAACACAGGTGATCAGGCTGTATTAGAGTGGGCTAGAAAGCAAACTCAGCCTCTCCTGCTCCAATAAGAGTCATCTTGCACTTCGAGGTCTGGGATCATTCCAGTTTTCTCTTTATACCCAGCTTGTTTATTATGAATTCATATATATGGTACCGGTACCTCTTGCTCCAATCACATCAAGAATTTCATATTCCCTGTTCCATGAAAAAAATGCAATTCATTGCATTCCCTTGCACCCGCTAATGTTCCACCTGGTATTAGCAATAATTCACTCACGCATCCAAGATCTTGCCCTATCAGTAATACGCACATTCCAGCAACATGAGTTTCCCAAGTGTGTTCATGAAAGGCTAGATGTGGTTGTACTATGGACCCACTAGTGGCTTATATGTCATACATTGTGTGTCATATTTGTAATGTATTTGTAGCATATAACAAGTAACTTGTATCGAAAAAATTGCTTTGGAGAACTGAAAGATTCTAATGAGCTGATAACTTGATGTATATACTTGACTATGGTTGGATACAGACTTCAATTGGGCTTTTAAGTCCTTAAACATAACTAATAATTTTATTTAGCTAATCACAACACTTACAAAACAAAACGTAATGCAACGCCCTATTGGTAGTAAAACATTACAGTATAATAAACAACATAGACATGTCTTAATCCCAGCACAAGTATAATATACATTTATAATGATTATTAACTAAATTCTTCCCATGGTCTCTCCTTGCCAAAACTAATCTAGTCTCTGAGCAGGACAGCTGGCCGTAGAACTAAGTCCTTTTTGCCATTCTCATCACCACAACATAATTTTTAATAAAGGTTCATATATTTACCTATTCAGATTCTAACTAACATATTCAGCAGTATCAGAGCTTAATAGTATACTCATAGGGAATGCATATGGTTCAGTAGTTCTGGATGGTCTTTTGACATTAAAGCAAAAAATTGTGCATGGGTTTTCAAATATGAACTGAAGTGAGAAAAATCCCTATATATAATACAGGAACTCTGCAGAAGTCATCTTTATCTGAATAGTGTTCAACACCAGTAACTCGCTTCTAGATAAAGCTGCATTTTAGATGCTGTGAGAATGATAGAGACATATCAGTGGGATGATGGAGACTATATTATTGCCTCCTATAGTTTAATAGTTGGACAGTTCTGTGCAGCGCACTGCCTGCTCTACCAGCCAAGCATACAATAAAATATCACTTTGCAGTAAAGTAGAAAAGTCCCAGATTGATTTCTTTTCAATACTATTAAAATGGCAATTGGGTGATGGGAAAGACTTTGTCACTAAGTGGAGAGCTTCCAAAAAAATAATAATAATGTGGACAATAGATCTGTCCAAGCTAGCTCTGATTCAATTCATATGGAAAGTTTGAGATTCAAAGTGGGCTTGATTTGAATACGTATACGATATAAAAGATTTGCCCATTGGCAATAATTGGGAGACTTCCAGACACCTGAAGCTGCTTTGTTTTTTGGAGAACAAGGTGAAAAGAGCTGAGATGGTACTGTAGACACTTGAGAGCAGGGCTATCAAACTCCTGGGCTGCAAGCCAGATGTGTCACATGCTGGCTTCACCCATGCCTGGTTTAGCGAAGTGACGTTAGTTTGACACCCCTGCTTTAAAGAGTAGTTAAACCCTCTGAAGTTCAGCTAGATGGCCTCAAGGGTTTTATTGCAATTCAAAATGTATTTCTCCATAATGTCTTCAGGGCAGACAGGGTAGGACTGGAGAAAGTCTAGCTTGGCATCTAATGTGTAATACGGTTTATAAATATTCAAATCTCTTAATAGTAAGCATCTACTTCTCTTGCTTTTTTGGAGTGCTGTGAGCTAGTGCAACCCCATCACTGATCTTTAGGTTTTGGAAAGAAGGAAGAAGCCTAGCACAGGTGTCTGGAAAGCTCTTCTCTTCTCAGTAAGAACCTCTTCCACATTGCCATGGTCTGATGATATCAGAGCTGCAGTCTGCAGGCGATATAAAGCAGAGACCATGGAAACAGGCTGACAGAGTGAGGTACAGTGCTACAGAGAGAGGCTGGCACTGAGTAAAAGAATTCATTGCCTTGCTTTCATCTAGTTCTTAAAAGCAGGAGATGCTTCAGACCAGCATCTTCACAGATGAACTCATTATTATATGGAAAGTAGCCTTAATCATGCAGCATCTAAAAATAATCATGTTGGACACACCAGAGTGTGCATGGTCAGCCTTGAGTTGATATTCACAGCTCTCAGAGATGCACTAAACTTTCATTTATGCTGATAAATGAAGTTTATGCTGATCAAGAAAGATGTGTAAATAGGATAGGGGAGGGGAGAGAGAGAGAGAGAGAGAAGCAGCATTTAAGATTTCTTTCTGGCTGGCTGGTCAGCTACAGAAAAGCTGAGAGCCCAGAAAGTTGAATGATGGCCAAAAGAACATTAGTCTCACTAGCAGCAATACACCTTTGGAAAGAGAACAGAGAGTCTGAGCACTTAAATGGTCAATTAGCAAATATCCCGTATAAGCAGCAACCAATTGCTATTATCAATTCTCACATGAGATCTCAATTCAACAATTTCGCATCTCTAATCCCAATATATTTTTTAGGAAAAAAGAATTGATTTATTAGGTTTGTATGTTTTTCTCATTTATTTTGAGATTTACAGTTTCCTTAGAGCAATTCTGGATGTACTGGGTTCTCTTAAGATCGGTGACATTTGGATATTTGGTGCCATTAATGAATATTGCAATAAAGTAAGATTAATGAACTACATAGATAGGCAAACATTCAGCCAGCTTTTGCACGGCACTTTAGGAAGATGCAACTTCTAAAATATGTAACTTTCCTTTCCCTTTTCCCAATTTCCCCAACTTTCCCTCACTTCTCCACCCTTCCTTTCCTCTCCCTTCCCTTCCCCTCCCCTCTCCTTTTCTCTTTCTTTTCCTTTCCCCTTTCCCACATGCATACATTTGTATTCATACTACTACTCATATGACACTAAATTGTTTATAATTTATAAAGCTAATACACACCCATACAATAAAACCATTCACAAGACCACTATTCTACCTCCTGCCATGCAATTACTTTCTTGCAGCCTGCCATACTTGGCCATGCTTTCTTTCAACTTGGCAACTACTGTTCTTATCAGAAGGACCTTGAAAAAAGGTTAATACTACAAGGTTTTGGCTTAGTGATATTATTCTAAATTCTTAATAATTTAAAGGATTGCTCTTATGGAAGATTTTACAGTAGATTCTGAGTAATGTAATCACCGAATTCTTAGGAGGAGTAGAGCAAACTTTTCATTTTATTCTTTCAGTCCAGGGCAGTATATCAGGGGTCTTCAAACTTAACAACTTTAAGACTTGTGGACCCAGAATTCCTCCTCCAGTCATGTTAGCTCAGGAATTCTGGGAGTTGAAGTCCACAAGTCTTAAACTTGCCAAGTTTGAAGACCCTTGCAGTATATTTGCACATTTTGAAAGCAAAACTCATCTGCTCTAACATTAGCAGACCTGAAGACAAAAGCCAGCATGCTTGTCACTGCTTAAAAGGAAACAAACCATTTGGGATCAATTTGCAGCAGGGGTTTCAGTGTTGAAAATGCCCAACTTATCCCAGGCAAACCAAAGGAGGATCTTTTTTCTTCTTCTATTTTTAACTTTTCCAAAGTCTATTGAGCCTCTGTTCACAATCTCCACCAAGGAAAATGTTAAATGGCTAGACTGCAAGTTAATCTCCCTCAGGTGGCTTCATTTCTAGAATAAATCAGCTATCTTTCTCAAATAATATATTTAAGTTGCAATATTGTGTGAGAGAGACCAAGTTAAACCATGTGGCCTAAAATTAATAACTCTCGTTGTTAGTATCTCAAAGTACTAAAAAAAAAAAGAATCTCCCTATAGAGTCTTAGAAACTTAGAGCTAGATTTCAGCCCTCTGGTTCGCTGTGTTCAGTTCAGATCCTCATTTTAATTTGATGTTATTTAAGCAAATCTTCATTTAATCTTACATGGGCAAGCTGCCTACCCATGTACAAAATAAAGGTTTTGGAGAATGCCTGTTCTGTGCAGATCTGTGCATTTGAGATTTTAAGCCTTCCTATTTAAATTTTACATCTTCCCACTTTTCTTTTCATTCCCTTGTAAAACTTGCAGGAAAATCATGCCCTACAGTTTCTAGTTTACTCCTGAAGTAGTACAGAATAATTTTCAGGGCTTCTGAAAGCTGAATCTTGGGTTGGGGCTACAGATAATCTATCCCTGAACTATATGAGAGTTGTTTGCTAGGTTGAGCTATATAAGGTAATGGCTTAACATGAGATGTAGCAGCTTCCTGTTTTAGTGTTCTCATGCTTCCAGTCTGATAATGTCCCTTTCCCACTTTAATAAGGGAAGCAAATAAGGGAAGTTATGATGGAAATGAGTACCAACACATACAGGGATCATGGATATGTCGGCTCTGTGGTGGGGCTGGCATCAAATGGCTACTCTGCAATTAAGAGACACAACTGCCTTTACTCAGTTCCCTGCAGAGTACTACATTCCTGACTGTATTTTGGTGCTGGAGGATGCATTTTATTTTATTCCAAGATTTATTCCTAAATGACATACTGTGCACACAGAGAACTGCCATTCTGTGTTGAAACAGCCGCATTTGGTTGGCGTCTGACTAAGTTCAGAAGGAAGCGAAAGTGGAGATGAATTTGATGAACGCTTGAAGAGAGAAAACTGTCAGGAAATGCCAGGGCTATAAGATAAAGTGGAAAATAAAAAAAATGGACTTGTTGGCCAAGGATCTGGGGAAAAGGTTAGGGAGCAAATAAAAGACTTGATATTTTTTTCCAAGGGAAGAACCGTCAAAGAGCCTTTTATTTGCTCCCTAAACCTGTTGCAATCTTTTCCCCAGATCCTTGGCCAAGAAGTCCATTTTTGATTTTCCACTTTATCCTATAGTCCTGAGATTTCCTGACAAGCTTCCCCAATTCAAGCGTTCCCCAAATTCATCTCCGCTTTCGCTTCTTTCTGAACCTAGGCGACGCCAACCAAATGCGGCCGGCTCAGCAAGAACCTCTGGTCGCCCTCCTTGCCCAAAAACGATCCCATAATTAGGACTAGGCGTGGGCTTCTGCGATTCCGAGGCGGGCGCTCAAGGGACCGTGTTTCTCCACGTCTCCTCGGGCTCTCTCTCCCGCCCCTTTCACGGTACACGAGCGGGAGGGAGGGAGGGAGGGAAGGGGAGGGGGGTTGACACAGACCAGACCCTGCTCTGGTGCGCAGGCTCGGTTTTCGGCGCAAGATGGCGGCGGCGGCGGCGGATAAACAGAAACATGAGCACGGGCGGGTGAAGATCGGGCACTACATCCTGGGGGACACGCTGGGCGTGGGCACCTTCGGCAAAGTCAAAGGTGAGCGCTGGAAAGGGAGAGCCGAGAAGCGGGGAGAGCGGCGGCGGCAGCGGGAGCGGCGCGGGGACCGGACTGCCGGCCGGCTTCCCCCCCCCCCCCCCCCCCTGTTCAAAGGGCGACGGTGGTGAAGGTGAAAGAACCGGGCTGCTGGGTCCTTTCTCACCCGCGGGGGTCCCGAGGAGGGAAGCGCCCCCACCCCCTCATTTTTTTTTCTCCTGGGGGGAAGGGTCGTTTAGCATTAAGGAAGGTTATCCATGGGATTGCATCCCCTTCCCCCCGTTTTGCAAAAACCCTTCTATTTTAGGGCGGAAAGAAAAGGGGTGATCTGATGGCTCCAGCGCACTGGAGCATTCTTCAATCCAGATTAGTTCATCTATCTAATCTATCTGTTTAATCTATGTCTGTCTGTCTATCACCTTGGGGGGGTTCCCCACCCCCCCCCCCGGGCCCCCCCCCCCCCCCCGCACACACACTCTTTTGGCTGGACTACTTTTAACTCTGCTCCGTTATGGAGCCCCCGATGGGTCCTCACTGGCTTCACCACCACCCCCCCGGTTTTTTTTTTCATTGCTTCCCCCCCCCCCGCCCCAAGCCCAGCCCCGAGGCCGGTTCGGGTTCCTGCAATCTGACCGGAAACCGCGACCTTTCAAAGGGCTTCTTCGCTGCCTTGGGGCTGCAAACGGGTTTTCTATGTTCTATGAACCCCCTCTTTGCTTTTTTTAAAAATTCTACTTTATTATTATTATTATTTTTGAAAGGGAGCCGCACAGAGTTTGCTCCCTTATGTGCTGAGTTGTCGTGCAGGCATTTGCAGCCTTGGGGGGATGGCCGTCTTGGGACGGGACTAGAGGAGAGAAGAAGGGAGCAAACGTAGCGTCGGGATCCAAGACCGCTTTTAGATTCTCCCAGTTGCTGTAATACCCCCCCCCCCCTCCTAATTTTGTTCTTCCTGCTGGGCTGAGTTCCGTATTATTGCCCCATCTAGTTTCAGCCAGTTCAGTGCTGCATCCTCTTGCTGTTCTCTCTTCTACCCCATAACTCGCTCTACTGAGATCTCTGTTGTAAACAGTGAGTTAAAAATGAGGAGGTAGATACGACAATAAAGGTGTTTGAGATAGAAATCAGTTGCGTTTCCTTGGAATAGTTTCAAGGAGTTGTTCAAATTCTCTTAAAAATGGTTTGCCTGGAAATACTGCATTTAAGATGCGTGTTTGTGTGTTTGTGCATGCCATTTCTACTTCATTTTCGGCAAGGTTTTTATTTTTAAATGGCATTGATTAAATGCTGAAGGAAGAGATGGTGTTTCTTCCAAAATAATAAATATGAAATCACTGTTGAAAGCATGCTAAAAGGACAGATTGCTTGATACAGAAACTTAAATCGACTTTGCTCAAGTGTTAGTCCTAGGTCTTCACTGAAAGATGCAAAGATTTGAAATCTTGTAATCAAATCCAAAGGCATTTCTGTGGATCAGCAAGGAATGTTGGTTTTGTATGCTTGATGAGGCATGTTTTATTTACAAAAGATACCTTGATAATACAGTAAATAATCCACCTTCACAATATAGTTAGGACCCTTTGAAAGAATAGCAGGGTGTTTAATGTTATCCTTGAAATGTGATGAACTAAATAAGAATTTACTTGTCTTCTAAATTCTGAAATTGATAGTCATGTCTTCTTTGGGAACATATTCCTCACTTGTTGCATCAAGATAGTCCAAGAAGTCATCAATGACTTAGATCTTACTGAGTTAGCATATGCATACAAAGGTGCCTATTGCTAATATATATGGAATTGCAATGTTTCCACCTGTGAATCAAAGAAGAGGAACATTTTGAAGGAGAATACTGTAATAATTTCATTCTCTTTTCATTCTATAAGTATTTGTATTCTTCCTTTCATATTTTGGAAACTTGGCTTTTGATTTTCAAATGGTTGTATTCTTCTGTGGCTTGTGTATTGTAAGTGTGGTGTGTGGTATAGTGCTTGTCCAAAACATGGAGAATATGTTGCTTTAAAAGTATCAATTACTTCTTACTGAGTTAGCATATGCATACAGAGGTGCCTGTGCTAATATCTGGAATTGCTCAGCTGCAGTATAGGTGAGCCATAACAAACATGCACGTTTTGTGCCTGACCCCAGGGAGTCCGGCTGTATTGTAAAGCTAAGTACCCTACCATTTAGATCCTCAAGGCTGTTTACATTATAGAAGCAATCTTGGAATTACTGGAACATCAATAATTCTGGAAAATTCCTCTCCTCAGGGATGGTATGAGAAAGCTTTATTAAATGCAACTGGTTAAATTGTGTACTCTTTTAAGTTTTGTCTGCAAAATTGCCATAATTATTTGGTAGCTAATATTTAAAAATATTTGCGCTTTCACAGCAGATTATCTAGGCACTATCAGAGGTTAGACTAATGAGAAAAAACCCTTTTCAAAAGAGTCTGATTTTGCAGAAATGGTATAACAGCCTATTAAAATGCTGTCATTCTTTAAAAAAAAAGATAAAGTGCTAGATCTTTTGAAATGACGGGCTTTCAGTTCAGCATCAATTTTCACACAATCCTACAGAAATTCCTTGCTATTGCTAAATTGCATTGAATTTCTCAAAAAGTTATATATTTACTCTTTAACCAGCGTAATTTATGCATATGGCCATATTCTTTAATTGGGTTTTGACTAAGGATTGGTTGGTTTTCTAATCCATCAGATACTCACCTGCTCATTAGACACACCAGACAAAAGAATTGGCCAGTTCTTGTATTTGCTTAATTTGGGCTCAAATGCTGAGACTAAAGAAAGGGTTGTCTAATAAATTGTAATGTTAATAGACTAGAGCATTTATGATAGCCAGAAGTAAAAAGTAAGGAATGTATTCTCTTGCACTTTCTAAAATGATTTTTAAGCTTACCAAACTAAAGATGGGCACAACATCTACACTAATCTACATTTTCTCCTTTCTTATTCAATACTTCGAAGTGATTTATATGCATGTCAGGTTGCTAGTTGCTATAGTACACTTTAGTTAGCTTAGCCAACAAGGTCAAACCTTACTGTTTGATTCTTCTGTGCGCCTTTACTAGAAAGAGCTAAAACAGAGGTATCCATTTGTGTTCCCAGTATGTGCATATGAGATTTGCTTGATCGGATTGCTTTGTGGTACTATTAATAAGACAGTTAATTGGCAGACCTGCTCAAAAGCAAGATAAGAACAGCATCTGCAATATAGCTATCTAATATATATTTTTTAAAAGTACAATATGCTACCGGATTAACCAAAATCTCAGTTGAGAAATTGACTTTGTTCCAGCAGTTGCTGTCTGGGCAGTGTTCAGAAATATTGTAGGCATATGTTGTTATTCTTAACTGCTGTTGTAGACAGGATTTTTGAATTGGATGAATCACTAGATGCAAGATCAAAGTGCCAGCTTCTAATGTTTTTCCAGTATCTATGACTAATGCTAACAAAGGCGAATTGGCATAAAGGGGAAAAATGATAACTAAGTCAGGACAAGTTCTCCATAGCTTCATATGTAGGAGTCACTGTGTGCAACGTCTTTAAATCGGTATAAAACATTTATACTTTGTCTCTTTCAACAGCACGCTGGAACACTTTGATTTTAGGATTTAGCAGCTTTGAAGTTCGAATGATAGTATAGGAATTTGGACAAAAGACATTTGATTATATCCCCTCTCCCTCCCTCCCTCCCTCCCCCCCTCTCTCTCTACACACACACACACACACACACACACACACACACACACATACTTTTCAGGGTATTACAACTAAATTGCCATTGAATGAAGTATATTTTGTAATATAAGCTCCTTCCCACAGTGCTTGTCATGAAAATAGTTTGAGTTGCCTTTATATTTCACGTTGAATCCTGATTTCGTTAAAGATAGTTTCGTAAATATTTAAATGCTTTGGAAATAGTCCTAAATCTTAAGAAACATAGGGCAAGCATGTACCTGACAGATTTTGGTGTATAACACCATGCCTCAATATTGTGTTGAATTGACTTATTTCTGTTTATAAGCAAGTGGAATCTTGCCCTCATTTCAGCTTGTGGTTCAGCATTTCTGAAAACATAAATGACACCCTCCCTCCTTATTTCCAGGTGAACTACCTCAATCAGAAATTGTTAACTTGAAGCCTCTGGATAATCCAGGACTTGAAGGGAATTCACTTGTCCCATCTTAATCCTGGTATAATCCAGCTATGGTGAACATCCCATTCCCTCCCCCAATTTCACCTGTAATAAAAAAAGAATCAATATACAAGGGAATTCACAGCTATTATGTCTATTGAAATAAATCTTTTCTTCCATGAACTTATTGACAAGTTCATATGGGAGTGTATGTGCTATAATCTTGAAAAAATTCCAAGATTCTTCATACCTGTAAATTGGATTGCTTGACTCCTCGATGGAAAGCTATTTATTTCTGTCTTCTATCTGGTGTGGCAATAATTTGCTGGGGAGTGGATTATGTGACCAGTGTATTCTGAGATGTTCACATGTAGCATAGTACAGTACAGTGTTTTTCAAGCTTGGCAAATTTAGGATGTGTGGACTTTAATTCCTAGAATTTCCCAACCACGCTGAGGAAGTTAAAGTCTACACATCATAAAGCCAAATTTGAAATACACTGATTGTATAATGTATATTTCCATGCGAGTAAGTCCCATTATAGTTATGCATGGAAACAGGAGCCTACTATTCTTAGAGATGTGTTTTGTTTTTTTCTGTCCTAAAAGATTTGAAATTATGAAATAAGCTTAGAAATTACTGGAATGGAAAATTTAATTATTTGTATTGCCTTTATTTGTCGCTAAAAATTTTATTTTGTGTTCCAACTGGCAAGGAAATTTACATAAGGAAAAAGCAAGGCATGTTTGTTTCATGCAGTTGCTTTGGAAAATGTTGTGTTGCACTATCTATAGTAAGTTTGAGAGAAATGATAATTACTTTTTATACTGTCCAGTCTATGGCAATT